GGCGCGACTTCCTTGATGAGCTCCCGGGCATCCTCTTCCGACATCTGCGCTGGCGACCACTTGGTAAAGGCTTGAAAGAGACACTTCATGCTGATGGTTCCGTCGTGGCACTCGTCGTACTGGTCCAGTCTGCGGTTAGAGCCTTGGCTTACACACTGAAGGCATGGCGCAGCTGCTTTGGCGTGATGGTCGATTCGACCTTTTTGGTGACGCACAAGACAAACGCTGCCGTGAGCCAACCAGACACCAACCCTCAAAATCAATCTCGCCGCTGCCGGTAGGATCAATTTCCGACATCAGCAGCTGCATGTCGTTGTTGCTCGTGGAAAGTCCGACCGTCTTCATCAGCGTTTCCAGCTCGCTTCTGCTGATGGTTCCTCCGTGGTCCAAATCCACCAGCTGGAAGATTTCCTTTAGTTCCTGCAGCTCTGCTAGTGTTTGTCCTGTTCGCTCGGCCAAGAGCGGGTCGATATCAGCCATGTCTCTGGTTTCTCGACAAACCCACAAACGTGTCTCATCGTTCAAATTCATAGATACATGTGGGCAATCTGTATCTATCACCGCGTGGTTCAGATGCCCCAAAATTATTTCTTTTTCTTTTTGAGTCCCAATTTTTTTTTCCCATCACAAACCAAACATGGGCGAAAAGTCAGAGAAAAAAGAAAAAAAGGAAAAAAAAGAAAAGAAAGAAAAGAAGGAAAAGAAGGAAAAGAAGGAAAAGAAGGAAAAGAAGGAGAAACGACCTGGTTCCGAGTCAATCCAGGATATCTCGGAACGACCTGCAAAAAAGTCAAAGAAAGAAAAAGGTGAAAAAGTCCAAGTGTCGGACAAGAGTGGCCAAGATGGCGGCTGGGTGTACAGGGAATCGGCACTCCTCGACAAAGACACCATCTCGGCTTTTCTCAAGAAGAACGCAATCAAGATGACCAATCTGGAGGGCCGGGATGTAGACATCCAACCCATTCTCTCGTTTGACCAGGCTGGCTTTCCCTCCCAGCTGCACAAGGACCTCGCGGTGTTTCCAGCCCCCACTCCCATCCAGTCGGTGTCGTGGCCGCCGCTGCTCAAGGGACAGGATCTGGTGGGGATTGCCTCCACTGGCTCGGGCAAGACGATTGCGTTTGGGATTCCCGGGCTGATCCATCTGCAAAACAAGGCGGCCACCGCGTCGTCCAGGAAACCAAAGGTGCTGGTGCTCTCGCCCACCCGCGAGCTGGCAATGCAAATCCAGGACCAGTTTGTTTTGTTTGGAAAAAGCTCGAAAATGACTTCCGTATGTATTTATGGCGGAGTCCCCAAAAAACCTCAGCAAGACAAGCTGCGGGTGGGCATGGATGCCATCGTTGCTACCCCCGGCAGGCTGATTGATCTGTTTGAGGAAAACTCGAATCTGTGCGATCTGTCCCAGGTCTCGTACCTGGTCCTGGACGAAGCCGACAGAATGCTGGACGCCGGATTCGAAGAGGCCATCAAGAAAATCATTGCCAAGCTTCCCGCCAAAAACCGACAGACGGTCATGTTCAGTGCCACCTGGCCCCAGGCGATTCAGAAGATGGCCCTGACGTACCTCGACAGCCCGATCAAGATCACAGTGGGCTCGACCGATTTGTCTGCCAACACCTCGATCGAACAACGGGTCGAGGTGCTGGATCCGACGCAAAAGGAAACGCGGCTGCTGCAGGTCCTGAAAGACTATCACAAAAACAGGAAAAACAGAATCTTGATCTTTGCGCTGTACAAAAAGGAGGCGGCCCGGCTCGAGTTTTTCCTGAAAAAGAGCGGCTACAAAGTGGGGGCCATCCACGGAGACTTGTCCCAGGAACAGCGGACCCGAGCACTGGAGGCCTTCAAAGATGCCTCGTCTCCGCTGCTGATTGCTACCGACGGTAATGCCAGCACGAGGCTAATCTGCAGTTGCTGCACGCGGAATCGACATTCCAGATGTGGAGTATGTCATCAACGTGACCTTTCCCCTGACGGTGGAAGACTATTGCCATAGAATCGGCCGAACGGGCAGAGCAGGTCGAACGGGGATATCCCACACCTTTTTCACCATACACGACAAGTCCCACTCCGGTAAGACGCTGGCGCTGACACGCAGGAGCTCTCATCAATGTGCTGAAGCAGGCGGGCCAGCCCGTGCCCCCCGAGCTCATGAAGTTTGGCACCACCGTCAAGAAAAAGCTGGATTCCAACTATGGAGCCTTTACGAGGGACATTGACCCTACGCTGAAAGCAACCAAGGTCACGTTTGACTCGGACTCGGACTAGCGCTCTGGCCCTAGTGTCTTGTAGTAAAGCAGCTGTGGCAGTAGCGGTATTTGCAATCAGCTACCAGATCCATAAAGGACACGGGACACCATTAGCATCAAACACGACCTGGCGAGATGTCTGCTCCAGCATCGATTCGGCCACTGTCGCTGGCTCCACCCAGACATGGCTGTTGGATGACGACACCAATTAATGGGACGCCAGATGTTGAGTGAACGGTGGTTTTGACCAAACAAGGATCGATGGAGCAGGACGAAGACGCCCAGGTTGAAAAAGGCTCAGAAAGCTTTGAAAAATACCGAGTCAAAATATACGAAATGTCAGAAGCGGGAAACTGGATCGACAAAGGAACGGGACTCGTTCAGTGCACGTTCATGGCAAGTTTGGGTTGTTTGACGGTAGCAAGGAAACGGATACGCTTTAGTTGTCAGAAGTGAAACTGACGGAAGTTGTGTCTTGAACAGCAAAATCACTGAGAACGAATATCAAACACAGCAAAGCACTTTGATTCTGTGGCACGACATTTCTGACTTGGACTTTGCTCTTTCTTTCCAGCATCAAGAGGGCTGTGCCGAGATACTCAGGCAAATACAAGAGGTGCAGAAGCGACTGGCTGCCGACAAGCACGACATTGATCAATTGCCGCAGCCCGCCCATCCAATTGCTTCTGCCGCGGGTGCTGGGGAAGCAACCATGGACCCGGACTTTACGCTCCCCCCGCCCACCCTGTCTAATTTGGAGCGGCTCGAAAAGATCTTTACCACCGCAGTCACCAACAACTCGTACCGCGAGACGCTGCTGAAGCGGCTGCTTGAGAGCGAGTTTCTGGAGCAGTTTATTGAGCTGCTCGAGCAGTGCGAAGACATGGAAATGGTGGAGGACTGCTATCGGCTATCGACGATTGTAAAATGCATCTGTAAGGATCCGCTGGCTGAGCCGCTAGTTTATCTGAACCACCAAGGGCTGTATGTCATTGTGCTGCAGGATCCGTACTTTATGGTTCTGCTGGGGATGCTCGAATACGACCGCGAATATCCGACCGCCAAGGCCTACTATCGGGAGTATTTCCAGAACCAGGTCCAGTTTAAACAGGTATTCGTTCTGGGCTGATGCGGGCTAGGTCGTCCCGATCAAGGACGAGGGGCTGTTGCGGCAGATCCAGCGGGTGTACCGAGCCTCCTACCTCAAGGATGTGGCACTGGCACGGACGCTGGAAGATTCTACGTTTGCCACGCTGAATGGCTTGATTGGCCACGACCAGTCGGAAATCCTAGAGACGCTGCTGGAGGACCAGCACTATCTGGAACAGGTGTTCCAGATCATACACAGCGACAAGGATCCGGAAAAACGAAAGGAATCGATTGCCTTTGTTGCCGAGCTGACCGGACTTGCCAAAAACTTTACAAAAGAGACCCGGAGCAGGCTGTACGAAAGCCTGGCCAAGTATGGACTGTACTCCATCCTGAAGGACGATCTGCTGGTGTTCCAGGCAGTGCTGGAGCACAATCCGATTCCCGTCAGAACGCAGATGGTTACTGCCAAGACGGTGCTGCCCTCCATCATTGGCCGACTGAAGGAAAAGGACGACGGCATCAGGCTGCAGATCATTGAGATCCTCAAGCTACTGCTGGACACCACCAATGCCGGATCGGTGGTGTCTGCGCCGCTCGCAATTGATACGGAGCTGGACAAGTTTCTAGAGTATTTCTACGAAAACTGCGCCGACCTAGTGTTTGAGAAAATCAATGGATCGGCGTTGGCTGAAGACGACTACAATCTCGCAAGCATGCTCTTGGATCTGCTTGGCTTTCTCATCACCCAGAACGGCATGTTTTGCAAGAACCACTTGATCCACGGCCAGCTCTTCAAAAACGTCGCCGTGTTTTTGTCGAGTCCCCGATCGTTTCTTCGTCTGGCCGCGCTTAGGGTCTTTCGACTTGCTCTGGGACTGAACGATGAGTTTTACCGGCGTTTGCTGATGAAACAAGAAGTATTGGGCAAGGTGCTGCAATGCCTCGTAGATACCCAAGCCAAGAACAATTTGCTTAATTCGGCTTGTCTAGAGTTTTTTTATACCATTGCAAATGTACGCGCGGAGGGCTGATCGGTAGGGCGAGGGAACAAAGTCCCTGATTGTGCATTTGGTGTCGCACCATAGACAGCAGCTGGCGCTATTGAATTATGTAGATATATTTAACCAGCTGATTGCCAAATACGATGACTGGGAGGGGTTTGTGCGCTGCGCTGACCGTAGAACAAAGTCGCAGGAAGTCAAGGATGGCTATGGAAAAGTTGATAATACCCAAGAAGCTTATTTTGAAGGAGACGATGCGAATGGCTCCAACCAGAAGGTGTCGGAGGAGCTAGAGTTTGTAAGCGGCGGCACCCTATTGCCGGCTGCTCCAATCCAGCTGGTGCCATACAAGGCTGACGACTCTGACGAAGAGGACGATCTGGTCATTCGAAAGTCCTCCAGCGACGGCAAGGAGGGGCTTGCGCCGAAAAAGTTTGGGCTGCAAAAATCTGTTTCCAAGCCCAGGGGAAGCATCAAGATCCAGCTGCAGAAGGCTGCAGAAACTGTCAGCCCCAACTCTAGTCCCAACCCAAGCAAAAAGAGAAAACTTTGATGATTCTTATACTTAGACTATAAAGAGCAATCCATCCTGCATTCTCGCCGCAGCCTCGCCAGCCGCCTCAGCTCAGCAAAAAAGAAGAGCGAAAAGAAAAAAAGAACCTTCCGTGGATCGAACACGGGACAACCTGATTTGCAATCAGATGCTCTACCACTGAGCTAAAGATTCTTGGACAGCGACATTTTTTTTGTCATTTGAGCAATCTCTGCAGCCGACCTTTCTGTTTCTCTTCGGCACGGACGGTGGTTGCAAGTACATCGTGCGTGGATGCGTGCGTCGTGGATGGCGCTGCCCAGCTTGCTAATGCTCCGCCCAGAGCGGATTTGAAGCAGGCTGCAGCAGTGGGTCTGGATCCGTTTGGCTAGGGACCGGGGCGATTGCATTTCAAGGTCCCACTTGAGAACCACACCAGGGAGCCGTCTTGATGAAATGTGGCATGGTAGAGCCAGTCGGAGTAAGCCTCCTCCGCCGATAGGATCCGAATGTCTCAGTCGGGTTGGCTCAAGAAATATTAGGACACAATGCCGCAATCGGTTAGAGACCCTCTGGCGACGACTGGATACAAGCAGTTTATGCTTGTCCTGACCGGTGCGCTCTTGCTGGCGTCATCTGCGGTCATGGCTACAGCCCTCGTGTTCCAAAGGTCATACCAGCCCTTCAAGTCCAAGCAGCTGCAGTATCTGAGCGTGGCATGGATTGCGTCAATCTTTTACTGGCTCGCCTGTCTGCAAATCTTTCAAATCGTAGACTCCACCGGCATCTTTTCCATCTGCTACATTTGGTTCTTTGTGGCTCAGCTCTTGGCGGGCGTCTGTCTGATTGCCCTGGTGATGTCGATCCGGATGTATCGTCTGTACTTTCTGATTGTCCTGGGCAAACCGGCCACTGGTGGCCAGTTCTGGTGGCCACTACTAGCAAGCTATCTTCCTATTTTTGTGCTGTGCTTGCTTCCACTGCTCCAGCCGGGACAGCTGGCCACGACCGCCCCGGTGGTTGCCGACAACTCTATCGACGGCAATGCAGGCTGCGTCACGCTGAACATGCCGTTTCTGTATGCGCTGTATGCGGTCGTGCTTTTTCAGATCATCTTTGTTTGGGTCCTCACCTTCCGAGTGTCTCGCGTCCAGCTCAAGTCGTTCAACGAGTTCCGAGAGAATGTGATCAGCAACGGAATTGCCACGGTGCTCCTGTTTCTGTCGTTTGGACTGGTGCTCTCGGGACTCAGCTTCTCGGTTGCGGGGAAGTGCATCCTCGTCTTTGGCGGGACCTTGTTTGGCATCGTGTCCTGGCTGGGGCCGTTGATCTCTCCCTTTTTTGGATTCTGCTTCTGTAGAGAGCAGTACCTGGCCCGCTGGAAACGAGGGCTGAGGGACGAAAGTCTCCCATCGGGTCTTCGCTACGGCGTCCACTCCGAAAGCAGCTCCTCTGGAACCTCCTCCATGATGCAGGCACGGCTCAGGCGATCCGCGGTGTGACCATCGGCCACGTCCATGTGCAAAATAAGCTTGATAAACTAAATGCGACCTTTACTGCGCCAGTTCCTTCAGCTGCTGATTATTGTGCTTCTCCTGTACGTCAAAGCTCCGACCGATGCTGGAGAATACTCCGAGTTCCACTTCATGGATCATGCATTGACCCAGACGCTGGCACATCAGGCCATGACTCACAGCAGCCACACAGGCCAGCGGAGACGCAGCGAGTGTTCGAGACGTTGTGTTGAGTGGTGCGAATAAACCTTTGCCAATGAACGTAAAGTCCTCGACGCTGATAGCCAAGCGGCTCCTGCTCAAGCTGCGCGAAAGCCAGGATGACGGAGTTCCGCTTGAAGAGCAAAGTCTGCCTTTGATTGTTCAAGATGCCAAGATGCTGTCGGATGCCGTCCAGGGACTGCTCGTTTCCGTTCCCGAGGGTTGCTGCATTCAACTCCTGACCAAAATGCATTTGATTCCAGGTATTCGGACCAGCAGCTGACCGCAGAACAACTACGGATGGCGGCAGCCCAGCTTGGCGCGTCGCTCCATCAAAAGAACGTTCAAGCTCTCTCTCAGCTTGTGCTGCAGCTCATCCAAGACCTCGCTTCTCTTTCCGAAAAGAACCTCCAGAAAGAAAAGAGAGATGCCGTTCCCGTGGTGTCCATCATGAAGAAATACTCGCTGCCGAAATCAAGCACCCAAGACACCCTGCATTCCCACCGGGCTGCCGACTCGCCCCCTCCGCTCCCGCTCCGGGCCGGCCATCTGCAGGAGCATCCGGCCATTCGGATGGCCCACCGGCACTCCATCTACGATCCCAGTCCGCTTGCCATCTCCAGACCCGCCGAGACCACTGCCCCTTTAGCGGTAGAGAGCGCTCTTGATAAGGCGCTAGGCGCTCTGAAGAGTGACATGAGCACGGACATCAAGCTGGTGGCAACGCCCGCTCCAGCGCTGGATCCCTCTGTCATCGCAGAGAGCGCCAAGCCTCTGCTGGAGCAGCATGCATGGCATGGTAGTCGTGGCGACAAGATGCTGGAGCGGATCGAGGCCAAAGTCAACGACATCTATGCAAAGATATCCGAAAGCCGCTCCTCTGCTTCGCTTGACCAAAAACGACGCGCCGACATCAAAAAGCAGTTGAAAAGCTTGACGAGCCTGCGCGCCTGCTTGAACTCGACAAGAAAGCTCACGCTCGACTTGGTGGACGACGCCGTTTCGTTCATTGCGGCCACCAAGACCCAGATGCTGTCAGCGGCAATTCCTCAGCAGCCCAGCCCCACGGTCCAGGAAGAGGTCTCGAGCAGGGAGCTATCCGAGGATATCAGGGACTTTGAGTTCCTTCTGGAACGACTCCGGGTCGATTTGACCAGAGGATCCCGGCCGGGACCGTCCTACCAGACGTACATCCACGAGCGTCTTCGTCTCTTGTCTGAAAAGCTGGATCTTTACAAGGATAAGGTGTACAGGGTAAAGCAAGCCCAAAAAACCGAGTGGGAGCACCAGCTGCAGACCATTCTCGGAGAACAGGAAGCGGTTTCAAACGCCATTTCGGAAATGGACTGCTTGAAGTCAGACCTGGACAGCGCCTTCCACCTGGCGCAGTCGGTCTTGCAAGTCCTCGAGTTTCAAACTTCGCACAAGCTACCGATCAATGTACCTCAGCTGTCCGTCCTGGCCGCAGACCGTGCCAAGGAGGTTGGAATGAAAATGGTGCTCAACGAGCTCCACACCACCACGCTGGACTTTGACTCGAGAGACAAAGTAGACGAGATTGTCCAGTCGCATCTGCGGCTCAAGGTATCCGACCCCAACGAGTTTCAGACCGAACTGCAGACATTTATAGCCAACCCGGAAAGCCTCAAGCCCACCGGAATGGTCCAGAAAATAGAACAGAAGCGGCAGAAGTTGCTGGAAAAGTTGTACATTGACCAGAAACGATAGTCAGTCTTTATCATTATAGTTTCGAATCGCCGGGTTCCTGATTAAAGAGTGTCGTGCTTGATCTCCCGAGAGGAGGGGCTTTTGCCTTCCCTTGGCATCTTTTGCGAGGTTGGGCTTCAGGCTGACGCTGGCAGCGCCTCGGGTGGGTATTTTTGGCTTTGCCGCTGTGGCCGAGTCCAAGACTTGAGTCGAGGCATTTCGCACACTCGGTTTCCTGAGAGAGGCACGGATCGAGTTGCTCATTTCCACCAACTGGGACTTTTCCTTGGCCAGCTTCTTCAGCTCCGCCACGGCCACCTGCAGCTTTTCTCGGAGCGCATCAATGACTGCCTGCTGGTTCGGACCGGTTTGCAGCTGGTCCAGCCGCCGGTACAGCTGGCTGATTTCGTCGTCGCGCGCTCTCAGAGTGTCTTCGAGATGGCCGCCGCTTACAGGGGCAATGTCCTCCATGTCCATCCGCATCCGATGGATGATGTCGTGCATTTCGTCGTTCTGTTGTGAGGCCACCGACAACGCACCTCCAGCCGCAGCTGCTTTTCTCGATCGGCAAGCGCATCGTATTCTTCAAGGAGTGAAACATGCGATGTTTCTGCGGCCACGATTCTCGCCTTTGCCTTCTTGTTTTCCAGCAGCAGAGTGTTGTTGTCGCGCTGGAGCTGCTGCAGTTTCGCTTCGAATGTCCTGATCTGGGACTTCAGCTCCAGTTCATACTGACACTCCAGGTTGTATTGCTCTGCTGTCAGCAACGCGACAAACCTTGCGTCATCCGCTCCTCTAGCTGAGTGTCGTCTTTCCGGAGTTGGTCTAGCTCTGACCGGAGAGACTGGACCAACTCTTTGTAGCGGTTGGATTCCCTTTCGCAGTCTAGCCTTTGCTCCTCGGCGGCCCGGAGCTGCTCCATAGCCCGAGAAACTTCTCTGCTCGATTCCTTGGTGCGTCGTTCGTGGTCGCTTTTCAGCTCGGCGACAGTCTTCTCCAGTTGGGAAATGGCTGCGTTCTTGTCTTCCAGTTGCGACCGGAAATCCAGCGTGATGTTCAGCATGTCGGTTTTCAACCGTTCCTTCTCGGCGGCTTCACCATCTGACAGGTTGGTGGCCGAGAGCAGTTTGGCGTTTAGTTGCCCCACCTGCCACTCCAGCGACTGGCTGGTAAGCTTCCGAGGGCACTACCTTGTGGGACAGCTCCAGCTCTTGCTCCAGCTGTTGCTTCTCCAGCTGCCAATCTCTCGAAAGAGACGAGAGCAGGCCGTTTTTCAGCTGAATCTGCTTTTCCCACTCTAGCTCCTTTTCACTGGCGTGCCGTGCAGCTTCATTTAGCTGCTGCTTGAGCTCCAGGATAGATTCCTGCGACACACTACAGTAAACCAGTCTGGGACAAACCGCAGCTTCTCGGCCAGTTCACCCAGCTCCCTTTCTAATCTGGCTCTGGCCTCTTCGGCAATTGCCAGCGCTGTCTTTAGTCCGGCCTCGCGTTCGGCCAGAGCCAGCGTCTGCTGGTGGTGGCCACTCTGCAAGGCCTGTGTTTCCAGCTCGTGTCGCTTCTCCATTTGGTCTAGGTCCTTTCTACAGCACCCATCAGCAGCTGCACCGTGTACCTTGGATGAGCCAGTCAAGAGCGCACCTTAGAACGGATCTTTCAGCCGCCAGCTTTTCCTGAAGCAGCGTTCGCTCTGCCGCCAGCTGCATCTTCTCGCGATCCATTTCCAAACGCAGCTCCTTGAGAAAGCCGTCCTTTTCGTCGAGTTTTCCCTGC